ATTCACCTTCAACTTCGAAATCTGATTCCTTCTACCTCTAATAGCAGCAGTAAGATGAAAGAATTTGGTGTTCTTATCACCTTCTCTAAACCACTTAAGTCTCGACTTTTGTGACCATTCTCTTTCCGACTTCTTATACTCCTCCCACAACTTCACCTTCACAGATACAATTTCTTTTTGAAGAGCCACATCACTTGGGTTGGAAATACACAAGTTCTCTAAAGAATCAATTTTTTTTCCAAAATCACAATCGAATCAGAATTCAAATCTCTTCTTTACTCCACCCAATCATTCGTCACATAATTTGTTAACATCAACATGTGATTAAAATCTTTATCTTGATTAGCACCAAAGATCTTCCTTATTTTATCAGCTAGAGTAAGATCGTCCGCCCAGTGGTTAAACCATTTAAATGGCCTGTATTGTTTTTTAGGCATCCTTTCACACAAAAGAATGGGCTTATGATCTGATGGACCTCTATGCAGCGATGCTTGAACCAGATTCGGATAAAGACACACGAAATCAGCTGAAATAAGAAATTTGTCGAGCCTACTCGCAGCAGTGTTATCTCCACCCCTAAACCTTGTAAACACACTACCAATGATTGGAACATCCACCAATTACATCTCGAAATGAATTCTTCAAAATCTAGCATTGAAGACGAAATGTCATGTACCCCTGTTCTTTCCAAGTTCGATCTAACAATATTAAAATCACCACCCACAATAACCGGAACTTTCAGATTATCTATAATGTTGTAAAGCTGTTCAAAAAACTTAGTCTTTCACTCCTCACATGCGGACCATAGACATTGATGATGCCTATTTCCATATTTTGGTGCACAAGCAAACCTTTCAACACAATGATTCTCCTGAATATATTATGGCATTTCACAGTGAAAGCATCTGAATCCCACAAAGAAATCAAACCCCCTGACGCTCCTTCTGCCGACGCACAAACCAAATCCGTAACAAACCTACCCTTTAACCTCCTTTCAATTCCAACAAAAACACTCTGAACTTTAGTTTCCTGTATCAAAACCACCCTAGCTTTACTACTTCCAATAGCCCGATTAACTGCACTAACCTTCTCATTCCTACCCAAACCTCTAATGTTCACGATAATACTAGAAGATTAAAATCCATAACAAAATTTGCTTCCACAAACAGGTAACACACAAAGTTGAGAGCATTTTTTAAGGCTTACCCGACTGAACGATGAAACTCAATCGTTCAATCACCCTCTTCTTTGATGCTCCAAAACGCATACCCAAAGATTCCGCAACAGCAAAAGTTGCCTCGGCTTCATTAGCAGACCCCAACGGCTGGATACCATTATCCCCACCAGAAAGTTCAAACGAATTCTGTGTATTGGCGTTGTAACTGCTCTCCCTTCTTCCCTTAGCTTTCTTCTGCTTTTTGTTGATTTTACAGCTTCTACGAGCCTGCCTCCTGATTTGAGTTAATGAAACTTTACCAACATCCTTCATAAAATTTCCACCAACATCCAAATGAAAACCCTTGGGATTGGAAGGAATATCCAGTTTGTCAACCTCCACTGCTTCTTCCCGAATATCATTAACATTGCCCGGGATAGAAGGAAATTCTTCTATTGGAACATCTAAAAATCTGGAGCTATTCGATAAGGATTGGGTCACCCCAATTTGGGATTGATCTCTATTAATGTCCACTAATCTAATGCTCTCATCCAACAGCTGATACGAAGGCCCATCAATAGCCAAAATGGGCACGTCATATAACTCATCCCCGACATCCTCCACTAAAACACGTGCCAGCCTGTTCCTGCTTTTTAGAATATCAATTCCACTTCTCTTACTTTGAAATTCAAAAAAACTTTCGCCCATACTGTCTACCTCAATACCCGCGTCTACCCTGCCACCATCCTGCATTCGAGGCTACAAATCAACTCATTCTTCGACTGGGACTATCATTCCACCACCCGTTGATAACCCGTCAATGAAAACTCTATCTTCTTCATAAACCTCTGTACTAACTTTAATGTAGCAAACACTACCGTTTATGATAATAGAACATTTCTCTGGAATTGCCGAGGCACACTGCACTTCCAATAGCAATTTGGCTTCCTCGAAACAAACTCTATTAGTTGTATCTTCATGAATGGACACAACAGAACCCCACCTATTACCCAGATCATTGAAAAACTTATTACACCACATTGCCAATGGAACATCTTTTAAAATAACCCATATTTTCCTTTTGATTCTCAGCTCATACCCTTCTAACACTTCCAATTCATCGAACCAACTCCTCAACCAAACATCTCTACAATCCCAGCACTTTGATAACTCCTTTGAATCTTTGAAATGTATAACCACCAACAATTCTTGCCAACTACTTACCCTCACATCAAACCCTTCTGCTTGAAAAGCTGTGTGAATAATCTATGTGTTGTACATCCTTTTAATTCTTCCAACTAAACAAAGCTCCCTCAACCGCAAACCATTCTTTAAGAGCACTATATTCGAACTAGCTGCTATAGCATCCCAATTTAAGACTCTATCACGTTCATCCACTATGCTGACGTGAATATTAACATTTAACCTTTCCTTATTTAAGGCATTTCCATCAGACCGGCCACCCAGAGCATCTTTGAACGATCTAGAGTCTCTTAAAGCTGGCTTCCACACCCTCTTCACCAGTTTCCCCGAATCGATACTACTTCTTCTTGGGACTACAGATTTATCATGGTACACTTTGATTCTAAAACCATCCATCAGACGCCCATCAGCCCTCTGAACCGCTACACTGGCTGCATGCTTGCTTCTGAACCTTACAAATGCAAAAGTAGTTCTATCCGCTAATCTTCTCCTATTCCTGAAAGCAACATACACATCTGACACGGCGTCGTACTCCTTGAACGCTTCCTTAAGAGACGACGGATGAATCCTTTTGCTCACATTATTGACGAAAATAGTATGAAACAAAACCTCCTTAGTAGCCATCATGCTTTTGAATTTGATTTTAATTTCCTCATGTTATGGATGAAATTTACTTTCCATCTCTTGATGGAAAGTTGAAGTCATTTAGGATTTCAATTCCCTTTGAAAACTTGAATCAAACATGGGAAAGTGGTGGAATTAGATTCTAATTCCTCCTAATTCCAAGGGATTCATGCGAACCAAACACCACCTTAATCTTAATTAAGAGATTTAATGTTTCATTTCATTAGACTAAGGATGAGTACGAGATTCCAATCTCACTTATCTTATAGGGTCATATTTTTCTTTTTGAAAATTTGGGTTTGGGTTCGAATTTTTTAAAAGATAAGTTAATGTTCAAGTTTAAAATGAAAAATATTCGGCTCGATCCAAAAAATAATATAATTACCCCTTATATACTTATAATAAATGTAATAATACTCCTCTATTTATTTTTTCCCATTTAAGTCCATATTTCACCTAACAAAAATAGAATTATATATATATAATGTAAAACTCTGTAACTTTACACATATTTAGGATCGTTGGATGAGTGAAAATAAATAGATAAGATTGACTTCTTATTTTTTCCCTAGTAAATATCTTCTCATTTATTACTGTTAATCTCAGCCGTCTATTTTCACTCATTCAATGATCTTGAATCTGTGTAAAACTAAAAGAATTTTATAGTGTACCTTGATCCTATCCCTATATATATTTCGGGTCAAGTGCGAGTTTTTACCAAAAAATCAAATTAGATTTTAGGTCAAATGAGCCTCCCTAAACTCGAGTTGAGTCAAGTTACAAGTGGAGGGATAGAATACTTGAGTTGAATTCGGATCGACCAAAATCCAGAACTGACTCGTCCATGCTCATCCTTACATTAGACGAATTGATAATTAGTAAGTAGAAAAAGTAATTAAAAAAAACAAAGGCAATTTTTTCACCTTTTCCATGTTTGATTCAAAAAGGCAGAGTTATTGGTTTGTTTATTCATAACAAGTTTTGAATCAAAAGCTTGTCTTCATGCTAACGTCTGGCCTGAATCCCAACGTTAGTTGACAAATGAAGAGGCCGAAGGCTTTGGCTGTACCAACAAGTTTGAATCTAAATATATCTCTTGTATTTCCCATAAACACGACGTGAAGCGAGTCTGGAATAGGGTATCTCACTGCCCAGGAAACTTCCAAGCAACAAGAATACATATGAAAAACCCACATTTCTTATGCCACACCAACTGCTAAATGACACCGCTTTTGAGTTGTTCAGCTCAGCCTTTTCAAGTTTGAGGTTTTAAGTTTCGATAAACTAAGCTGAATCATTAAGGTTTTCATCTAATATTATATGTTAATGCGTGCACGAATCCTCCTCTTGTCACCATCCTCGTACGCTCATCTCTGGCTTTCTAATATCATTGTTTAGATTTTAATTATTTTCAATTCCAGTTATTTTAAGCTATCATCATTAAATTCCCTTTGAACTTCAAAATAAATAACTTTAAAATTCGAATTTAATTAAATGTTTGTGAAGAAAATTTACCATCACTTATTCTAACCACTCCAACAATATACTTTGACAAATGAATCCTGTTGATAGTAGAAGCAAAATGACATCATGGCTTGCTGGATTGTAAGACCAATCCGAACCCATCCAACACTGTTATCGAGAATTGAATTACGTTAGAATTTTTCGAGTTAAGTTTATAAAATCATGGGTCGAATCAAGTAGAGTTTTCCAATGTCAAGTCAAATAAAACAATTCGATTTTTTTTAGTCGAGTTTTACTCACCCTTAAATCATTCGGCTTAAACATCAGAAAGTGTCATGGTATACAAACTCCGATACCCCATAATTTTTCCTTTGTTTCGCAAAGCTCATTGACTTGTCTAGTCCGGAAACATATTCCGACCACCGCAAGCCTTGAATCCGCTTCTCGGAAGAAAACCTTCAAGTTCCAAAAGTTGACATCTTGTTGTACAAATCCAAAAAGAAGGATGAATACAAGCATGTATATAAAGCTGCAAAGAGGAGATGCCCTCAAGTAAAAGACAACTATTAATCGATTAGTTCATCCTTCCAATTTGAATGAGTTTCAATAAATAAATTCATTCAAGTCGGTTAACTTGCTTCTTTTACATAATCTTTTCCCCCCCTAAGACAAGCCATATCCGAATTCCGAATTGTTCATATTTACACCGGCACAGATATATATTCGTATCAAATGCCAATCAAAACAATTTATCTGATCGGGACTCACATCACCTGTGCTTTATCCTGCATATTGAGCAATCTCGGAAGCAATTTCAGAGATCCAGTTAATTGCAGTGCCACAAAAGAGTTCCCAAAACCAGAGATCTAATGCAAGTACCGAAGAAAAGATGAGTAATGCCAATGTCTGGTAACGGTTCAATGGCCAGCCGGAAACTTCGGCCATTGTCTTCAAAAATGGAAGGGAACTGCTCTGGAAATCTTGTTTCGTAATGGACCAAGCCGTTACCCATTGTACACGGGAAGGAACCAGGTCAAATTCCTCTTTTAAGCGTCTCCCTAAGTCTGGCATGTGGCCGCCCCCATATAGTATCGCTATCTTATTATTACCATCATCAAGCGCTCGTCTCAATGCTTCTATAGCAGCCCTGTTCCTCTCGCCGATGATAACTGATCTCTCTTCCACAGCAGCAGTCACTTGTGTAAACCTACACAAATAATATTTTTGTCTCTTTTCAACAATGCTTGTCACATGATATATATGAACTTGTTCAATTCAAAACTACCCAAATACAGAAAAGCATAGCTACCTACACCTAAACCACAGTAATGCGAAAAGACGACTCCCAAGTTCAGAAAATAAGTTTCCTTGTAAATCAAGTAAGGTCTATTATCGCATGTCCAAGCAATTGTAAAACCCAGAATATAAAAGGACTTTTTCCCCCCAAAACTTACTCAGAGGTTAGCCGTTTTGCAAGGAAAACTTTCATGGCAGCACCAAAGTCGAGCCTCGATAAAGCTTCTAGCTCTGGATAATCAGATGCCTGGCTTCCAACATCCGCACAAACACCACTGATAATGAGAAAACCTACAAGTGGCATAGGCAGCACACGAGAGGCCCATAGAAGCTTGGATCTCCAAGGATCAAGGTCCTCTGGGATTGAAGCAGTCTGAACTAAAGCTTTTGTCGATTTAAGGGTCATATCACGTGCAAATGTGAAGAAGCTTTCACCTTTTTCAAGCTGGAAAATATCATATTCGAAACATTAGATGTACGACCATGATGATAAAGCTGACCTCAGATTTCACATCATAAAAGCATAAAACGATGTTATCTTACCTGAAGTAACTTGAAGGTCTCGTAGTCGAGATCTGCATGGTACCAATTATCAGCCTGGTAATCAAGACAATCTAATTGGAAATCAAGCATAAGTATCCGAGCCATCTGCCGTTGAACGCATCCCAAAATGTTGAAACCTCGTGACCGTGAACTTTTGAGCCTTTTTGCTGCAGAAGGGTTCCTTCTATTTTCCAAACTCTCTCTGCTGGCCACCATCTCATAAAGAACACAATCATACGGTGCAAGCTCCTTCTGAAGGGTTTCAAAGTACCTGCAGCCAAGATTAGTCATTCAACCAATTCAACTAGAAAAATACATGCAAGCATACATAGTAAAGTTGCTACAAATAACTGGACATTTTAGCTACACTTGCACAAACTCAATCCATTATACTCCCACAGAAGTTCAGATTGAAATATTAAGAAGAAAAATACTCTAATATTTAACACACTTCCATCATTCCTTACGTAGGAAAGCCAAACCAAAACCCAGATTTTCATCAGCGGAGTTACATTCTCTCCGTGCCATTTTCAGTCCTTCGAGCACACAGAGAGTCGTGCTTATCTACGACCAAAACCTACTGCTTCACTGCAAAAGTGCATTCATACAGGGTTACAGACTCAGTCCAGATGATGCTAAACTTCACTCATTCTTTCTTTTATTTTTCCTTGAAAAATAACATCATTCGGTTTCATTCATAAACATATAATTTAGCAGACATTTCCAGCTAGATTTCTGCTTTCCCTTCATAAAGAATTCATTCAATTATCACGTCTTCAAATTAGGATATTATACTGTTTTCTGGAAAATAAACTACAACCAGATAAGCAAGGAACAACCCAGCATTCAAAATACATAACCATGAACAACAAAACATAAATACTTGTAATCTCATAAAATTCTACGTTTGAATTAGCCAATAACATACTCTGTATCCGCTATATGAATCGTTGAGACCAAATCAACCTGAAACATCAATTAACAAAAAATAAAAAATAAAAGTCCCACAATTAGAAACCAGCAAACTGAATCTTCTTTAAATAAACCATAATTCAGAATCAAAGCTCGAGCGGTTGTTTAAGTACCCGAAGAAAAGGGTAAAGAATAGACCAAGGGAACCTCTTACGATAACCAACAATAGCCGTTTGCAACTCGCCGCTACCGATTCGACTCCCTCTCTTGAATCTCATGAAATCCGCTATCGAATTGCTGTTAAAAAACTGCTCCGGTGACCCATCTTCAACGGTCGATGAGCAACCCAAAAGCTTCAACGATGGGTATTTGAGAGGCTTTGAGAACCTGGGATTGGGTTTAGAGAGCTTAAGTGTTACGGGCCAAAAAGATGTAGAATTGGGAGATGAATCGAGGTTTGAAGTCGAATGAAATGAAGATGTGGATGAGATAAGTGAGAGAGAACACGAAACCATAATTTCCCAGAGTGAGAGAATAAGGGAAAAGAAAACGATTGGGTTTTTATTTCTTCCACTCAATAAAAATAACCTGCTTCACAGTTTTTTTTCATCCATTTTTGTTGAGATATTTTGCTCCTAGTTTCTTGGATGAAACTGAAACCAATTATTCTTAGTTTTTCGGACAAGAAAGTCAAGGAACAATGGATTAACAATTCAAAACCAAATGTAAGCATCTAATGGGACTAGGGTGAGAAAGTTAGATTCCTCCCAAAAAAGTCCTGAATTTTAAGTTGTTTATTTAGTTTGAATTTTGAATAAGGGTCAAGTTTAAATTTATAAAATTCGAGTTTATAAAGTTTATCATTTAAGTTTAACATTAAAATTCAAGTTATTTTCAAGTTTGGGCGAAGAATGGAAATGAAATTTATTACTGCACTGTTAAAAATGAATACTACTATAAAATGAAGAATGTCCCCTTAAGGAAAAGAATATATGTATGAGTTAATCAATGTTTACAACAAAGGAATGGATTAAAGCAAGCAGAATGATATGGAAGTTGCATAAGCTACATGGTCACCATAGAACGATAAAAGAAATATATATTCATGTATTGAAACCCGGTATCATTGCGTGAGAAGCCGAATGCCTGCTTCTAGATCTTCCAAGGTTATTGTGCGCAGTTCATCGGCATCCATACAATCGAAACTGAGCCGGAGATCAAGGTTCTCCCTAGCGTTAACTAGCATCGGATCGACTAAACCCCCATTCATCTCCTTACGCTGCTTTTCCGTTGTTTCTCTCTCTATTAGTCTTGCTATGGCATCTAAACTGCAAGAACTATGCAACTTAAATCCATACAACAAACTCTGCTCCGTTTGATTATTCATCTTGATATGGAGTATGTTGGCTAGGTCTGAAGAGTTGAAATCACTAAAGTAAAAAAATTTCGTCACCCTTCGGCAGAATCCTTCATTAGAAGCAATTACACGCTTCATTGGTTCGCTATATCCAGCGAATATGACTACAATTTTTCCGCTGTCCATTACGGACATGATCTCTTCTAAAGCCTCCAATCCATAGTCTTTATCATCTGATTTTTGCATTGGTATTAACCTATATGCTTCATCAACAAAAAGAATTCCACCCTCAGCTTCTTGGATCTGTGAATGATCAGTCCGTAGTTCAAAAGAAAGAAAAATAAACATAAAAACCTCAACCAAAAGATAAAAAATTAAACCATAAAGCTCAAGGATTCAAGGAAACACCTTTCTCCTTGTTTTTGGCCCTGTGTGTCCTACAAATTCACCAACCAAATCTGTCCTTTGAACTTCTGTTACCTTGTCAGTAGGTAGAATTCCAACCATGTGAAGCAATTTCCCAAGAACACGAGCAACCATGGTTTTACCTTTTAAGATCAAACACCATAAGAAGTGTAAAAACCACGTGTTGCTAAAAAATGGTAATAGATTTCGAGGCATACGATCCAATTGCATTTACCTGTTCCAGGATTACCCAGGAATGCCATATGAGGAGGTCTTCTAATGCCAACTTTCAACCCAAGAGCCCTGCGCCTTTCATCCAAGAGCATCCCCTTTGCCCATTTCCGAAGTTGTACTTTGAGCTCATGCAAACCTATGATATTTAACAGCTCCTTCTCAAGTTCGTCCATCTTAGCCTTGGCCTCACTGCATGCTTCTAGTGCTCTTCTCTTTCTCTGCTCTTCAAGATGCCTAAGTAATAATTCCTGTAATTTCTCACTTCCAGGGCCTTTGGAGAGATGTTTTATAGGAGTCATACCCTCCTGCAGATCAAAAGGTTTATCAACTACCATGAGTTGGTAATAAAAGATAAAACAAGCATCAAGAAATATACAAAGTAATACGATGAATATTACATCGTCCTCAGAACTACAATCAGCATTGTACTCAAGTAGCGTCTTGACAGTTGCATGGTTGTCAGATCGAATCGAGTCCCAAACAGCCAGGTGTAATGCTGTCATTCCGTTCTGCATAAATAACATGGATGAAGTAAATCCTCAATAGAAGTTGGAATGTCGGATACTGTCATCTTATTCTAACAAAAAACATAATGCTGAAAGGAAAATAAGGAGCTGAGAAAAATCACATTAGCTTTGGCTTCAATGAAAGCACCATGAGCGAGAAGCAACCGTACAGCTTCATTACATCCGTTCTTGGCTGCCATATGCAATGGGGTTTCACCGTACTGCAACAAAGATAACAGAAAGAAGGGGAGGAATCCAAAAGGTCCAAATCAAGGAGCACCATTAGATTTCAGAACAAAAATTAACTGAAAAATACAGTGAACCTTTTCTGTACCTACCATATTCTTGGCTTCCAATTCAACTTCCTCTGACCCTTTCCAGTCAAGCAAAAATTTCACTATCTGGTCTCTGTCATTTCCAGCAGCAACATGCAGTGGTGTCTGTGCCATCTGCATTTATGCCAACTGAAAATTAATAATCTAAGAATACGATGAAATAGATTCCATCCTCATACATATATGATATATCCATGGTAAACATGAAATTCAACCTCTCTAATTATTTGAGGAATTTCAGCAAAGCAGCTCACAGTAAAAAGTTCACATTTGTATGAATTATGGATCAATCATTAGCTCAAACATGGTTGACCTCAGCTAAGATCATGAGCTGATTCCCCCATGGAATAGCTTCAATAATCCATTTCCAGCCAAATAAGTTCCCCAGGATCCAAATAGTCCATCATGGACTCTAACACCCACAATTCCAAAGCAGCCGTCTTTGATTGAACCAAGCTAATGAATAAAATTTCATCATAAATTACCCCTATTTATGGCTAAAAATGCAAATAAATTATAAAAAAATGAAGCCCAGGGAAGATCAAAGGATGACACTTACAACAGGGTTTCTCTCGTTGAGAAGAGAAGGCTTGTCATGAAGCAGCTTTTGGAGACCAACAAGATCCCCAGACTGAACCAACCCATGAACTGTTATGGGCTTAGCAGATCTTGACCGTTGATCGTGACGCCTCTGCATCCTTTCCGAAAGAGAAAAAAAACAGAAATAAAGAGAATTTCTTTCCTCCTCCTTTTCCTCTCTGCGAAGTCAAAGAAAGAAAGAAGAAAACAAAAGAAATGAAGAGTAAAACGAAGGGGAACTAGATTTCGTGCTCTATAGAGGGATAGATCGTAAAGTTTTTTTAGTACTTTGTTTTGTTATATATTATCTTTGGCGTTCGTAAAGTTTTCCCAAATTTTGGTGGTTTTGATTTGCGCAATGGGGACCTTTATTCTACTGTGGGCGGCGGAGCTTCCCAGTTCCCACCGCCCACCAGATGGCCACCTATTTTTAAGCTGTCAACAATCAACCACTCAATTTTCCTTCATATTTTTAGTTTCAACAAAAGTAACAGAGTTAATTCCATAAAATTACCCCAAGTACCATTTAAATTCTAAATTGGTCCATATTAGAAACATTCTGATGAATTCTTAAAGTATAAATATTATATCAATTTTGTCCTTCCTTTGACCATTCTAGTCGTCTACTTAGGCTAGTTATATATGCGGTTTGGTTTGGTTTGGTTTTTTTTTTAATAAAAGTTGAATTGAATTGTACGATACAATTTTTTAAAATAAAATCGAAATTAAAATCAAATTGAATCATATAAATCCAATTTTTTTGTCAGATTTAGTTCCATTCAATTTTGTAATTTTTAAGCTCAGCATTCAGAGAAAGCATATTTCAAGCTTAATAGAGCACAAATACACAAATTTAAATTCACAAATAATAATCTTATTACTTTTAGAATTTTATTTATTTAAATTTGACTTATAAAAAATTCAGAATGATTTTGATTTAAATCTTTTATTTTCTTTTATAATTCATTTGATTTGAAAACAAATGAGTTTTATACGAAAATATCAAATCTCAACTAAATTGTGAAATTAAATTTCTAAATCGAATTGAAACTGAACTGCATTGCTCGGTTCAAATCTAATTTTCGGTTTTAAAGTTTAGTTTATTTGTTATATAACAATCAACACATACGAAAGTGTCGTGAACAATTAAGAAAAATATACTAGCTGTTGATATTTATTATCCTTTTAATTATTATTTTAGTAGTTTCGTAACAATTTTATATTTAATCATTTTATAAATTGTTTTATCGAAATTTAATGTTATGCATTAGTTTATATAAATTTTCATTATAATATTAAAGATTTGATTCATAACTACATTTTTTTTATAATTATATTCATGGATCTTAATTGTCCAAGCGACAAATAGATACATATTTATAACTTGATCAGTATTTTTAGATATATAATATATCAAATTCGAGCTAACATTTTAATGCTCAAGCTAATAATTAGGCTGATGTCAGGATTTAATTAATATGATACTAAAACTTTAAAGAATTATTTGAAATATTTTAAAATTTAATGATTAAATTAAAATTTGGGACAGTTTGATTAACCCAAATAATCATTTATCCTTTCCCCCCATGCTATTTCTATCAAATTCTAACTCCATGTTTGGTTTGATGAGCTGTACTCCAGCTGATCTTCAAATAATGTCGCGTGTTGCTAATGTAAGTGGTGGAAATAATAATTGGGTAAAATAAACAGCAAACGCTCATAAATAATGGGTTTATTTATGCATATATTTCATTGATTTTCTGGAATATAAAGAATGGGTTTTGTTCATTTTATGTATTTTTTTTTGTTGCAATATCATAGCAAGGTATTTGTTACGGTGGCGATGTCATATTTACGGATGTTGGGATTGTTGTGTAAATCATAACTGAATCGTGTTTCTTAATTGAATTTCACTGAGTTTGTATATTTTTATCTTAATTGAATCTTAGTTTCTTAATCACCATTCATAGAGCATGTTGATTTTTTTCATCCAGAAAATCCACATGGCGGCCAGCAGTACCGGTGGCAGCAAAATCCTCCCCAGCATGTCGTTGCACTTGCAAATATTCCAAGTCCTCCGCCTCCTCCGCCACCTTTCATGAACAGCAGCGGAGTTTCTGGCTCTGAAAACTCATCCTCTATCGTCTCCTGGTATTGTATTTTGTTTCCCGAAGACAATTTGGTCTACTTAGTTACTTGTTACATTGGTTTATAATGGAACGAGACTTGTTGAAGGCTGCGAGCCAGAATTATGATGGAAACTTAACTCCTTCACCATGCTTATTTCTTACACCCATGAGTGTCAAATTGATTGCTAAGATTGACATGTTTTTCCATGGCAAATAAATAAATAATTATTTAAAAAAAAGAGAGAGAAATGGATAATCGGCCTCATAGAGAAGATTAGGCATTTTCAACACAATATTTCAAACATATGCTTGTCATTAAAATATATCTAATCATCGGCCGATTTTCAATCCAACGTAATTAGTATAAGCAATTTCATGTATATATAAAAAAATAATTTGACAAGAAAAAATAAAGGGAAACCCAGGGACTCGGAATATGGGTGTTGATTTATCAGGATGGTCGGCAAAGGCTATCGGAAACAGCCAATTTACGACGAACGAGACCTTTCACTGATGACATCGTCACCGTCCCTTCTACCATACATCTTTTTCTGATTCATAATTCAAAACAAAAAAGAAACGCTAATCTCAAAGCAGAACTAGAACAAGAACCCCATAGTCACCTAAAATAAAACAAGATTGCCTCCAAACCACAATCGATAGCTTAGCCTACGAAGCTCGTGAAACCCTACTTTATATAGGGAATTGGACGCAGATTAGGGTTTTGAGGAGATAACGGGCCACGACCCGGGAATGAATCCACAAGCTAAATGGGTCTGGACAGCTTGTAACTTTGAATAGGTCTAGATATATGTAATCCTTATACTTAAATAAAATAATAATTTAAATTAAATATTAATATATTTTTTTATAATTTAAAATTTATATTAGTATTTAAATGTTTAAATACAAAAGACTTTATCAAAATACAACGAGCGAAATATATCATAAATATTGAAATGACCTATTGATATAACATTTTATGTTCACGTTTTTTATGTTTACTTAACGTACTCCACTACACAAACAAGGTTAAAAAATTGTTGTCATTAATCGATATTTTCAAAAATAAATAAAAAACATGATTTCTTAATTTCATTTTTGGAGTTGAAAAATCTTTGTTGTGTAATGAACTAATAATTCTTACAGAGATGGCTTAAAATACAATAACACTATTAAGAATTCTTTAGTTTTACATTGATTTAAAGTTAACTAGATGAATGTAAATCAATAATTAAAATTAAAATTTTATATATTTTCATATTATCCACCTCCTTTTCTTTTGTACGTAAAAATATCCTTTCTTTTAATTTGTAATCTCAAGCCATTAACTTATATTCATTCAATGATTTTAAATCAATATAAAACTTAAGAATTTTAGACTCTGTAATTAGCAAAATGTTAGTGCCATGATTAAACCAAAATTGGGTTCATGCCCCAAAGCAGTGATTGCCAGATTTCAAGACAACCGTGGGGCTAATCGAGTTAGCAATTGCAGGCTATATAAACTATTCTAACCAATCTACACTCAGAAGCAAACTGTTGTACATTCTATGCAAACTCAAAGTTACAGAGGTACACCAAAACCAGATACTATCATCAAATTTTTATAATCTAATTCTGAATCCTACAATACTAACACATCGATTGTGTGGCCAATCCGGTGATTGAAACCCGGAGGCAGAGAAAATGCAATAAATAATGAACAACGAAAGCTCTACAACTGTCACCTTATATCTCAGCTCCCTCCAGGTCTACTTCTTTCCAAATGAGTGTCTAGTGTTGACAGGATCCGAGGCATGGACATCCCCCCGGATATAACAATTTCTGCCATGGAAGAACGAATATGATATAAGATAAGAACTTGAAACAATATACGTTATAGACAACTTTTCGATCTATTATATCAATATACATTATATATATTGGTTTTAATAAAAATAATCCACAAGAAACTTCATGATAGAGTGATCATAGCAATAGAAGAGTTATGACTTAGGATTAAGGTTGTTATCGAGCATAGCCAAGCTCGAGCTCGATTTGAAACTCAATGTTCAAAACTCGAGTCAAGCATGATTGGATATTCTCATATAAGCTCGAGCTCAGCTCAAAATAATATCAAACTATCCAAAGCTCAGCTCGATTAAGCTTGTTTACACTACTTACTAACTCAAACTTGAGCAAGTTCCATATTCATTTTTTGGTAAAGTAGTAAGTTAATATAAAAAAAATTAAAATATTAAAAATACATTTATAAATAAAAAGCTCGATTTGGTTTGGGAGATGCTCAAATCGAGTACTAAGTTACTTGAGCTAGGCTCGAAAATGATCGAATTGGAATCAAGCATTTTACGAGTCGAATTCAAATAGCTCGAGAGCACGTGTCTCATTTAGACCCCTACCTAGGAGCCTATACAACAACACCTCCCTGCATCCCCATCCAACCCAACCTCACCTTTTTTCCCACCCATTTCTAAATAACGACACAGACGAAGTTGAATGCCTCACCAATTCCTTCACGGACTGATAGGTTAAGTCTGAAGACATCCTTGGTATTGACAAGGAATATATCACCAATGTAAAGATGATTTGTGGGAATAAAAACACAGCATAGCTCTTCTTCACCATAGTAGCTCTGCATTTGAAATCAAAATATATAAAATGGTGTCCTTGATTTTACATTGCACGGATTGTCTTAAATCCTACTTTTCCACCAAATATTAAAAAATGATTGCAAACTCATTTAGATGTTAAATGTTGACAGTACAGCAAAGTAGATGACGAGATGTTAAATACTGGTCACAAGCAGTCGTTTCGAAAGAGTCCCATAGAAACGAGAACCCAACTACTCGAAACAGGCAGCCTCAAGAGTTTTATGGAAAGAAAAAAATCATGCAGACATGCATACCAATAAGATCATATGAACTATGAAGCATGAACATTATGAATAAGGGAAATAAAAAAACAGGGAATGCACGCCAATATGATAATTTAGGAAGAAAAACTTTATTTCCTTACCTGCAAAGCAACAGATGAAGTGATGAATCCAAATGCATATTCGCCAATACGTGGATGCCTTATGATGGCTACTTCCTTGAAGGCTTGTGTGTTCTGATCTGAAATAAAGTAAATATGTAAACAAACAATGATTACCATATAGATTGTCACAACCTGAACCAATTTTAATAATCTGACCAGGCAAACTAATTTACTTCATGTGGAAGAAAACCAGCAGAGTGGCATACCTGGTGATATAGCAGAACTAATCTGCTTGGAGGCATTGTAGATGTGACGAACAAATGGCATCCGTTTGATAAACCACTCACCAAGGCCCAAGACGGATGCTCCCAACCAAGATGACATGAATACCCCAACCACAAAGATGAATGTAATAGATGTTACAAATCCAAGACCTATCCGGGAAGCAAAAGGAGGTCAAAACAATGAATAAACCTGTTAAGTTAACCAGATGGTACATACTCTTAAAGCAGAGATTCTTGGTAAAAATGATAAAGATAAAATATATCTGTGGAAAGCATAAATAATTTGCGAAGGTCACTGCCTGTAAACCAATTTAGCTTTCTTGTAGAACATACCATGTGAAAGATACATAAAACTAAATTTTTTTCCTATGTTAAAAGGTACTGAACATGTATATGCATTTATTTCCATGATATTAAAGTCTGGTTCTATGGAAATTTCATATGAAGAACATATCATGGAAATAAATACATATATCACCCACACACTTGTAATTATCATTCTCCAAAAACAACAATTTTGTGAGAATTCCAACAAAATCCTTTTCATTCATGAGCCTTAAGAAAATAAAACATATTCACAAACTCCAAAGATCCAATTAAAGGGTGAAAAAGCGTAAAAGACTTAACAATTATGAAATAGGTTCACCAGAGTTCTTGGGGGGGAAGTTTTAGAGTTTATCTGAATGAGATGCTCACCAAATATATTAATTCCTAGTTGAGCATAAATTGGAGAGAAAAAACCATCCACAAAGTGAATAAACCACCATGTTATGTAGAAAGTGATTGCTATAGGAAACAGAATGACACTGCAAAATAAGTATATGATTCAGCATCTGCTATAACAGCATCATGAATGACAACAGAAATTCAATTAGATTAAATTCCATAGAAATATCAAAATTAAAAACCAAAGCTACTAAGTTTTTGAGTTAATCGAAAAAGTTAGTAGAATTTCATGGTAGCAAGAGCTAACATTTTGTCAGATGATAAAGAAGAAACAGAGGAATTTCAAGACATTCATTTTATGAGAAGCTTATGGAAAGAAAAAAAATGGAAACAGAAAAAAATTAAAAAAACATGTCAGGCTGTTCACATTATTAATTGTGTTACATCCATCTCAATTCTCATACCAAGATTTCAACATAACTCTCCCAATAAAGCATTGTGAATGAAGAAGATACTTGGTATAGTGAATAATGTCCGAATAATTCCAAGGGACAGCAAATTCATCCCAGCTATTCTAGTGAAACGCTTGCTTTCCACCAGGCACATATTTTATGAAATAGCTGATAATTGTGAAAAATTCAAGGAATTTAGATTTATCTCTCATTCCAAATTAATAGTCTCCAAAGTTATAAAATTTACCATAATTACAAATAAAAAAGTAAAACCTAAAAAGGACCAATTTAGCAATTTAGGCTCGATACATTAGGGAAAGCATTTGCACTCATGATCAATGATAGAAGAGAAGAGGCTGAACTGGAGGAATGCCTGTATCACTTTTTTTCTGTAAGAAGAATAATAATATTGTTATCCAAATCATTATCCATACAGATGAAAATTGTAGGAACATCCATCATGAGTCCAAAAAGCTAAAGAAAGGAGAAGAAAGAATGCCACATACCATCCTGTCATGAACTTCTTTGAAGCCCAGCTCTGGACAATTTTGTAAAAGGTCTGCATAAAACAAACCTTGTCAACATTTCCTTTGAAAGATTTCATTACTAACCCACTCCATCAACCAGAAAAAAGATAATGTGATAAAAATAGGATGACTTCAAATTCAAGCCTATAGTTCTATACCCCAAATTTGTTTGAGAGCATTAACATTCTTTACACATCATTTTAATCTGGAAAATTTAATCATAGATGCACAGAAAGCTCTAAAACGAAAACACAACCCCTTATTATTACAAAATGTAGTATGGAACCCTATCAAGTCGGTCCAGTTATATCCCAAATGGTTTCATCTTCTAATCACAATTTTTTCATAAAACAAAAACTATTTCCTCTTCCTTAATAACTCCAGTAAATTATGCAACATTCTACATACCAATACCAAGTTAAACACAATTAAAAACAGTTCAATTTCCAGACCTCTTTTAATATCAATAACTTTCATCTTAAAAATGAATTTGAGACAGCTGATTTCTCTCTATTAACAACCAATTCGGCCACAGAAATCCCCATAACGCTCTATTAAATGACTATTAAATTTATAAACTTCGAAGCCAATCTTAAAAATAGCAACCAGAAAAAAAATGCAAACCAAGTCAAATCTAATTCAAACACATTCCTAAATCCAATTGAACAACCGAAAATCTGTTTATAAAAATAAGTTAAATAAAAGGAAATTAGAGAAATGATACCTCACGGCCGGCGTGATGCGAAGAAGAAGAAGAAGCTTTGGAGGAATCATCGAGTATGGAGTCAGCGACCGTAAGTAGAAGTTCTCGATCTCCACTCGCCATCTGGGCCGTCGATTTTTCATCTGCCATCACCAAAGAGCGCGCTACCAATATCCTTACCAAGAATCTAAAAGAAAAACTTATCTCGCTTCGACCCTTTCTCTCAACTGAGTTCTTACCAGTCAAGAAGAAGAAATACAGAAGAAATTTAAAAATAACAGAAATTTCAATTCTGGCAATCTGAGATGAGAAGCGACTCTTTTGAATTTGCTTAGTCAGTTCGACACTTTCGCTGACTTTTTTTTTTTAAGTTTTTATCTAAAATATTATGGGTCGGGTCGGGTATACGCGTTGGATGGCCGATTTTATTACGTTTCAAATATGAAAAAGTATAGGTTAAACTTATCATTAGTCTATTTACTATGTATAAAATGTGAATTTAGTCAATTTTAATTTTTTATATTTTTTCGGATTTTAAAATTTTAACCATGAATAAAATGGTACATGGATAATACAAGAAATGACAAACACTTAAAACAATCAAATTTGATAATAAAAACTAAATCTACAATTATAGTACATGAACTAATATTAATATTTAACAAACACTTTTTGCACAGTGATGGATGTTGGTGACATAATTTAGAGGGTTTAATCAAAATTTGTGGAGGCTTAATCCGACTTTTCAATAAAAATTGGGAGGTTTAACAACTTTATCGGACGACGATTATTCATGGTTCCAGCAGAAATGTGTAAAAGACAAGATATCATATGTGTTTCAAGGAAGTACTCATGAAAAGAAAGAAGTTTGGATTATAAACAAATTTCAGTTCATCTGATACACCTAGGTACCAAGCTTTAGTGAGGATTTTGAATCCGAGACACGGCCAACGCTTCCTGCATCCGCCTCTGCCTCCTTATGTACATCAAAGTAAGCTTATTTACGATGCTGCGTCACTGACCACTTTGAACAACTTAGCCACAAATCTCCTCAATCAATCCGCTTAACACTTGCTTCTCTATATCGTCCACCACTTGCATCCTGTCCTTCACAGAAAATCCGTTTCTCCAACCCAAGTCCCATACTCCACTTAAAACTTCTTTCTGCTTTATATCTCTTTCCACCATCAAGTAAAGACTACCGCTACAATAGTTTTCACCGGAAAGCTCGCTATAGCTACTCAATAGCAAAGCTTTCCGTCCGGTCCCTCTCATGAAGCTTTTGCTGTCGGCTCCAATTGATAAGATGGGGTCATCATCGATGTCTCCTGTAGATTTTCGGTTGTTTTGATCATCAGTAGTCACCAGGGTAACATCACAAACAGAACTCTTACCAGGGTAACCTTCAATTACAATATCAGTGTGTTCTGTTCCCTCCTTTGTTTGAAGCTGATCCGCAGTTTCAGTGCTATATTCTTCCAAAACATCATCATCATTATCCGATGCAAGATTGACGATTTTTCCTTCCAAAACCGTATTGTTTCTGGATATAACATCAATCCTCTTCCCATCTGAAACAATACCATCTCTTTTGTATTCTAATTTCTCAATCTGCGACAAAAATGAACTGCATTTAATTTTCAATGCTTGTTCTATGTTTTCATAGCTCAATGCATGCAGCAGAGACATTTCCAATCTCAAATGTCAACATGATGCTTGATGGAAGTTAGAATTATAACTGCAGAAAGTAAGCTTAAAAGTACTCACAATTAAGTTAGCAGTTGTTGCAGCATTGTGAACTATTTTCTCCTTTTTCATCTGAATCTTTTGCTGATCATCGGTAGCACCAACTATAGTTTGCTGTCTGTGATTAGAGTTGGAGTTTGCAGTAGAGATTCGCTGATAAGGCATTTTATTTTTTGTAACATTTGATCCATTATCAAGCTTACTAGACTTTGGAAGGGTAGCCTTGGCTTCATCTTTAGACCTAGATAAGTTCTCGTGTGGTTGCAGGCACAGATCGAGTCGAGGTTTTATGAGTACAATCGGGGGGCTATTGTTGATCAACTTCTGTTCCGTAACAAAGTCACTCCATTGATGAGAATCATACTTGATCTCTTTGACGAAGTTGTTTTTCAATACTCCTTTAAAGCATCTCTTCATCTCTTTCCTGGAATATGTCTGCAATGGTTTTGAAGGCATCTCATCTAGTCCCATAAGCTTTGCAATCAAACTCGGGCCTTCTGCCTTCTTCTCTAGAGCTGCTAATGAGATAGATGAATCCATGAAAGTAAAGTTGTCGGATCGAACAGTCGAAGATTGGCTTGAGCTTGTCGACGGGATATCTGAAGCCGAGTCCGAAACTCTTCCACCGAAGCATCTCTTTTCTTCAACATTTACGTTAGGCAATAGGCTTTGCCTAGCTAAGCTGTCTCTAATCTGTTCCTTTTCTTCAACATTTTTGTTAGGCAATAGGCTTTTCCTAGGTAAGCTATCTCTAATCACTTCCCTAAGCTCCTCAATGCAATCTTTTGAAGAACCATCCGCCATTCGGCAGCAATAACTCCGCTCACTGATCGGACTTGAATCGGTTCTCTTAATTACTTGATCATTTCTCACCCTATCCCATTTTTCCTTTTCTTTCTTCTTCAACTTCGCCATATGCAGTTTTCCAAGTATATGCAGAGAGCCCTGCAAATCAAGAGCTCCTCTCAAAAAATCTTTCGCCGCATCCTTTGAATTCCTGTCGTACCAAAGCCCTTCGGAGCAAGAATCAGTGACATGATTTAGCTCCTGAGCTCTTCTCGAATTCTCAAAGAGCCGATCCTTTACGTTGGATCGGTTCTTTGCCTTTCGCCAGCATTTGGACCCGGTTTCAGACCTTCTAACCGTTCTGCACTCTACAACTCCCTTTGGATCATCGCATGTAACAAAAGATCTACAAACAAATGATCTCAGACTGTCTTGAGACATGTTCTGTAAAGCAAAACAAATATCTATGATCTCCGATGCTTACAGAACACACAAAAGAACATTTCTCACCAGATTATGCTTACATTCTCTTGATGTTCCTAATCAGTCTTTGATATGATCATCGGAAATCGACCAAATCAACACCTTCTCCGGCTCTGTTTCAGTGAAAACAACACCAGCAAAAACATCAAACAGTTGTTGTCCGCCGCCTCTAAACAACAAAAGGATAGTCTTTTATGAAAAATAACTTATACCCAGATGAGAAAATGCATGTAAAAGAATTTCATCAGGGAAAGGTGACCTGCTGCGAATGAAGTAGCAGAGACTGAGATCCAAAGTTAAAGAGAAGAAATAACTGTGGTTTACTGGGGATAATGAAACACTTAGACCCTCTGTTAAAAGTTAGAAGCAGTTACCAAATGAAGGAATCATAGCTTTGAATGCTGGGCAGTTCTTTCAGTATCAATTTCCTTTTTTTGGCATAATGATATTTTAGTCCTCAATGTTTATATATTTTTTATTAATTTGATCTTATTGTTTTTAGTTAAATTTGATTTTTTATTAAATTGATAAATTTAATGATCATTCTATAATAGTTTGATAAATTTAGTTATTGTTTTAATCGTCTCAATCCGATGCTATTGGCTTAACAAAGGGAGCTGACTTCTGTGCAGTGATTCATATAATATTCATGGACAATTCGATTTTGGATGCAATCAAAAGGTTTAGTCAAGAGTTGTTAGGGTTGTGTTTGTAGGTACCAAATGCTCTTTTGTAGAGTTTGGTTAAGTGTTTAAGATTTGTTTGCTCGCTTGGGATCAAGGTTGTATCGGATATTGGATGTTATCGGTGTGTATTAGTGATGATTAATAATTTTTGGATACTCTTTTTTCCTTTTTGATGTTTTGATTGAGCCTTGCTTCGATCAAGATGTGAGGGAATTTTTAATGAGATCCGTCTTTTTTCTTTTTTATTTTTTTAAAAAAAATTAATAATTATTTTATCATTTTTAAAATTGTAATGAAAAAAGTTATCATTTAAATATAATTTGATGACAAAAATGATTATTTTTATAAATTTTAAAATTTTAGTGATAAAACTTTTAAAAAAAAATTAACTAGTACGAAGTGCACATGAATTATCATGTTAGAATCGCTAAAAATCTAATATTCTAATCAATATTTCAGTTAAGAAAAAAAAGTAAATCGACTCTTCTTAAAAGGCTGGGTTAATTTTTTTTCCTAAGAAAATTGACAGTTAAATTTAACTTAAAAAAATAAAGATCCAACTGACAAAAATTATGGACATTGATGGCCAAATTTGGTTTTTTTATTCCGAACCCATTTGAGAAGAACCACTTGAAGATCCATGTGTAAATCACTTCTCACCGTCAAATTATTAATTAAATTAAGTTTTAATTGATGAAGATTTAGGCTTTTGCAGTAGAGTAGGTGAAAATTGAAGAGTTTAAATGCAGTCACAAGACTCTTGCAATTTATATGTATATACAGTGTTTTGAAAATCGGATCGGACCGACCGGTTCAACCGTTGCCTTGTCCGGTCTATTCTATTCCGGTTGAACCGATTCTAGTAAACCCTAAAGAACCGTTCGAATCGGCTTTGAACCGCTCGAACTAGACCGGACCGTGAATCGATTCAACCTATTTTTTTAATTTTTTATTAAATGTTTTTAATATTTTTATTTAATATTTAAAATAATTATGACATCGTCCAGTTCTTACGACCGGTCTGACCGATTCGACCGGTTGAACCAACGAACCAATAGTACGGCTGGCTCGCTGCGCGATCCGATTCTGAAAACCATGTATATATATATATATATGGTGTTACCATACTGATACTACTTTTGGTGCCTATCATAAATGTGAATCAACCCTTACGCTTTGAATTTAAATAACTTTTTGGGCAAACTTCCCTTTCGATCACTAAACTATTATTATTTCCCTATTCTGGTCATTGAAATTTGTTGGAAAAATCGACAATAAATTACATTTTTTTCCTGTTTTGGTCATTGATTGTTAAAAAATTAATGGTGATCATGATGTGGCCTTGTATAATAACAATTTTGATCCCCAAAACTTATACATTCTATCAATTTGGTCTTAATTCAAAATAATTCAATAAATTCTCAATATTTGAAAATATTATCAATTTTACAGAGTATGGAAGTATAGTTGGTGCTTTATAGTACGTTGTGGTTACTCGACCTGATGTTGCCTTCTCTGTTAATTGAGTATGTCAGTTCATATAGGCACCTCTCTATGTGTATTTTCAAACTGTAAAAAGGATTTTGCGTTATCTTCAAGGTACAATTGACTATGGTTTAAGATTCACACTGTCTTCACAATTGTTATTGATTGGGTTTGTAGATGCTAACTGGGAGTTCGATGTTGATGACAGACGTTCTACCTTATGTTATTGCATCTATTTGAGGGGTAATCTTGTTTCTTGGAGTTCTCGTAAGCAGCAGGTTGTTGCTCGGTCCACTGTCGATGTTCAATATCAGAGTATTGCCCCGGCTGTTGCTGACATGCCGTGGGTTTCGTCTTTGCTCAAGGAATTATATGTGGCTTCGCATGGGAAAGTTACCTTGTGGTGTGACAACTCCAGCGTTGTAGTTGTTTGTGCTAATTTTGTTCTTCATTCTAAATTCAAGCATGTTAAGTTTGATTTTTTTAGGAGATATTTGCGGCTGGTAAGTTGCATGCACATGAAGTCCCAACATATGAACAGGTGACCGATGTTTTGACCAAGCCATTGTCTTCTCCTTTGTTTCTTAAGCATCGATCGAGACGAGGTTTAGAAAAGTGACTCAGCAAGGGGAATGTTGAGGTCTAGAGTGTGAGAAATGTAGAAATTCGGTGAATATTAGTATATATTTGATATAGCATGCAATTGAATTTGTTAGAGTTTCTATTATACATACAGTTATGTAGGTCTCTATTAGCTGCTTATATAAATAATTGGTCTTTATTCTTTAGAGATTTTACAGCTTTATTAATAAAAGGTTCATAGAGCATTGTCTCTCTTTCTCCCTCTTGTTTTCTTTCTTCTTTAGATAGCTTGAGTATTATAGAAAATAACCTCAGTGACCGAAAATGACTTATAATATACGATTTTAACCAACTTTTTTTGGATTTGCCAAAATGACCAACAAAATCGCAATGCGATCTTAAATTCGCAACGCGAACTCTAATTTTTCAACTCAGTTTCCAAATTCGCAACGCGATTTTGCGATAGTCCAAGTTCGCGTTGCGATTTTCTAAATTCGTTGCGATTTTCCAAATTTACGTTAGTCCAAATTCGTTGCGATAGTCGAAGTTCGCGTTACGATTTTCCAAATTCGTTGCGATAGTCCAAGTTCACGTTCGAAGTTCGCGTTGCGATTTTCCAAATTCGTTGCGATAGTCCAAGTTCACGTTGCGATAGTCGAAGTTTGTGTTGCGATTTTCAAAATTCGTTGCGATAGTCGAAGTTCGCGTTGCGATTTTCCAAAATCGCAACGACTGGTGGTATTGCATTTGTTTCTTAAGAATTTTCTCTAAAAAGATAGTATCCGTGCGGACGTGTCGAATACACGTATTACCACGACCACGACCCGAGACGAGACGGGACGGGACGGCGACGATACGCGAGAGTCCCCCTTGTTCTCTTCCACTCAACAAGGAAGTGGGAAATCCAAGCCTTAAATACCCATTCCCAATAGTATTTCTAATACTATGTGGGATTGAGCATTGCCAACACTTGGGAATCTTTTACACTATCGCAACACATTCTTTATTGTTTCAAACTAAGATCTTACAAATGGCTTGGGAATCTTATACACTATCGCAACACATTCTTTATTGTTTCAAACTCCACGTGAATTTGGAATAGTTAAAATGTAAACTTATTTTGGATTTTTCACTATCGCAACACTTTTTCACTATCGCAACAACACGTTTTTCAAACTTTCGCAACACATTTTAACTATCGCAACACATTTTTCAAAATCGCGTTGCGAATCTGGATATTCGCGTTGCGAATTTGAAAACTGAGTTGAAAAATTAGAGTTCACGTTGCGATTTTGTTGGTCATTTTGGCAAATCCAAAAAAAGTTGGTTAAAATCATATATTATAAGGCATTTTCGGTCACTGAGATTATTTTCTCTTATCTTATCATATTCATCATTTTAGTTTGATATAATTACATTAATATCATTAGTTAATTAATTCAAATAATTCACACATTAACTATTTTTATTAAAAATATGTTATTACTTTAACTAGAATAATTAAGTGTGCTTATTATTTGGACTACAAATAACATTATAGAAGTAAACAGATCAATTTTATGTCAGATTAAAGAGAGGGGCTAAATCTCAAATTTTAATATAACAGAGAGACCAAAACCAAAGTATGACCTTTGAATTTTATGTCGGAATGTCTCGCAATCAAAATATCCCCCCTGATATAATGCTTCTATTGCAAAAATATGAATTATGTTGTTGGGAAATGTGAAATATGAAGACAATAGTTAGTATGGTCCCTCCTAATACTAATGTCTCTTAACCTCCGAATCTGATCTGATACGTGTAATTAATTCACAATCTGTTAGGTTTGGACATGAATTCTTAGCAGATATGGTCAAAAATTAAAACATGCTTGGTATAATGAATATTTTTTTAGTTTTCCAAGATATCCACGTAACCAGGGTTGATTAATAAAAAAATTATCAAAATTATAGTGTTTGAACAGTTTATGGTTTATAAGTTTAAAATATGTGATTATAAAAATTAAAATTTTTGATTTATAATTAATTTTAATTATTTTATAATTAAAAAATAAATATTTTATAATTAAATAGTGAAATAGCTTAAGAATAGATCCAAACTGTAGTGCTTGAGCAGTTATGTTAATTTTTTAACAACGGATGACTAAAATAATATCAAAATGTAATACTGGTATGATTTTTGAAAAAAATAATAATTTAGTGATTAAAATAAAATAAAGTAAAAATTAGATACTAAGTGTGTAGTTTATACCGAGAAAAACTAACCTTAAATCTTTAAAACAACTTTTAAATATTTAAGAACAAATGAAAGATTTCAATTTTCAGGTTGAAATGAAGGCGGTTTAAAAGCCGACCTGATCTTCCCTGCCATCCCTTCTTGCAGCCATGGGGAAAACAAGGGGAGAGAATTTAGTTAAACCAGTTATTCAGCTTTGTATGTTCTTCCCTGATATTTTGGGCAAAGATTTGTCCCATCTTAACAAACCAGGAACCACCATTTTTAGTCTTTTTGTTGTTTATAGTTTTATTTTTGCTAGTTGAACCTCAAATTTATGTCCCCAAAACATGTTCACTCCAAAACAACGTGAACCACTCGAAAGCTGTATCTCTTCAGTACAGCTGAAAACTGATAAATCCTTTCGGTTTCGATTGCCAGCCTCTCATTTCAATGGAGTAGTTTCCCCCTACAATCAAAACCTGAACAAGGCTAGTTTCGTTTTTATTTATAATCGTTTCCTCCTTTGCTTCTTCTTCAATTCCTCGATCCAACAAAAAGAAAACAAAGAAGAAGAAGAAGCTAACTTGAAGATTTCACGATGGTTCGGGCATTGACTCGTCGGTACAGCACTCACAACTCGGGATCTTTCCGCATTATGAGAATGATTGAGAGTCCACCGAGGCAGCAGCAAAACCCGACCCCGGCTGGTAATGATCACGCCGATGATGTTGATTATAACCAGCAAGAAAAATCAACCGATCACCAACATATAGGAGATCGTTTCCCAGGAACTTCCCCGGAGAGACCACCATCAGGTGCACATTTCAGATAATTTCCTTTCCAGCCAAACACACTCGGATTCATTTTCTTGCTAATGATTTCTTTCTGGGTTTGATATAGATATGGATATGATGAAGGAAAAGTTTGCTAAGTTGCTTCTGGGTGAAGATATGTCGGGAGGAGGAAAAGGTGTTTCTTCAGCTTTGGCTTTGTCAAATGCAGTGACAAACCTAGCAGGTTTGATCTCATCGATCTTCTACCTTTTCCTTTTAGTTTCCATGACGAAAAATCTTGATAACTGAGCCTGTTGGCCAATGATAATGCAGCATCCGTTTTCGGAGAACAAGTAAAATTAGGACCTATGGCTCCGGAGACGAAAGCAAGGTGGAGAAGAGAAATGGATTGGCTTCTATCGGTCACCGATCACATCGTCGAGTTCGTTCCTTCACTGCAGAAAACGAAGAACGGAACAAACATGGAGGTTATGGTCACTAGACAAAGGAGCGATCTGCTTACCAACATACCCGGCCTACGCAAACTCGACACGATGCTTATCGTGAGTAGCTTTATCCTTCTAGTTTTAAACCTGAAAATATCATTTCATGGTAAAAGAAAAGATTGATCGAATTTGTAATGAAAAACAGGAGGCTCTTGACAGCTTTGGGCAAGAACAAGAGTTCTGGTACGTGTCCAAAAACAACGATCATGATAACGAAAATGGCCATAGGGATGACAAATGGTGGCATCCGACTGTAAAGGTACCTGCAAATGGGTTATCGGAAACATCACGACGGTGGCTGCAGTGTCAAAAGGAGTCGGTGAATCAGGTTCTAAAAGCCGCTATGGCCATCAATGCAGAAATCCTATCCGAAATGGAGATTCCCGAAAGCTACATCGATTCCCTTCCCAGGGTAAAGAAATAAAAACTCCCCAATCAAGTAATTATTCTTTTTAGTTAACTTGATTGTTCTTCTTCTCCATCATGTGTATGTAGAATGGAAGATCAAGCCTGGGCGATTCAATCTATAAAAGCATCACGGTGGATCAGTTTGATCCGTCACAGTTCCTAGCAACCATGGACTTGTCAACAGAACACAAAGTTTTAGACCTTAAGAATAGGATTGAGGCCTCCATTATCATTTGGAAGAGGAAGTTGCACCATAAAGATGGAAGATCTTCTTGGGGTTCGAGTGTCAGCTTGGAGAAGAGGGAACTCTTCGAAGTGAGGGCCGAGACCATCTTAATCTTGTTAAAGCAGCAATTTCCGGAACTTCCACAATCTTCACTGGATATATCCAAGATCCAATACAATAGGGTAAATCATGCAAACCATTGCAGATCTTTTGTTAAACGTAATCAAGGTTGACAAACTAACCTGATGGTCTGGTATTCGATTCCACAGGATGTAGGACACGCTATCCAGGAGAGCTATTCAAGGATCCTAGAGAGCTTGGCATTCAACGTCATGTCCAGAATCGAAGATGTCCTTCATGCCGACTGCCTTACTCGAATATCTTCACCGGCAAGATCCGAGGCCTCCTCTAGCTCCTCTGGTGAAGACGCAGTCGCCACGAGTGCTGCAGACACACCTATTCTCTCGGATTTCATGGGATGGGGTATTGCTTCAAGAAGGAGAGATTCAACTGATCTAGAAATCTACTTTAAGGGTGATGATGACAACAAAACGTCCAAGCCAACCCCAAAGAAATCTCCATATCTAGAGAAACTTGAAAGCTGTGGCCTAAGAAGTCCCGATGCTCGTCAATGATAGGTAGAAGAAGGGGAACAAGAGGAAGTAGAAGAAAGAGGGAAAGAAATGCAACAAGTGGGAGATGAGTATATATGTTCATATTTTGTTAGAAAGAAAGCTTACCATATGTACAGAAATTTTAGAGCTTTGTGCTGCTCTTCCTTGTGAATTTGGACAGGGAAGTGATTATGTGACTGATTTAGATTTGATGTATTCGGGAACTGCATTCTGGCTGCTGTCTTCATCTCTAGTAACTGTCCTCTAGATTATCTGTTCTTCAAGTTATGCAACTTTTTGCCTCCAATGCACCATGAAACTTGTTTGTACATGTGAAGAACAAATACAAAATTGAGGGATTAAATTGAAAAATTAAAATATTTGTTGTTAAGATAAATTAAAATTATATAGGTATTTTATAATAATTTAAGAGTGTACAATTTAAATTTGATCAAAAATCGACTTAGAATTACATAAGAATTGATAAAATAAAATAAAAATATGGGTCAAATAATCAAAAGGAAATTAAACTAATTAACCAAAAATCCAAACAATATCATTTAAAAAAAATTTGTTATTCTAACTTCACAAATTTAAGATCGACGCTAAAATTCAAACCAAACAATTAAGTTGACTAAGATGACTCAAGCAACTCGATTCAAGCAAATAATTTTTTTTTATAAAAATAATTATATGATAATGTAATATATATATTTTATACACAAATTATATAATCATATTCAACCATTTGAAAATAAATAACTGCATTTATTTATTTTTTATACGCATACAGTAATTAAAATTTTATAAACACAATAGAATCAAAATTTTACATATATAATTACATATATCAAAGTTCATTTATTATATTATATATTAAATTAATTTTTTATATAAATTTTTTATTTATCTTTGGATATATTGTTTTTAATTTAAAATTAAATACTCACCTCTAATTTAAGATACTACTGATATAAATTGAATTTTATTTTTTATTTTTGTTCGATCAAATACTCCCCTCTAATTTAATATACTACTGATATTGATTAGACTGATATATTTTGTATAGACTTTGATTTTCAATTTGACATTTTGTAACTTAGAAGTTGGTGGATAAATTCAATAGGAGTTCTGGCAGCATTAGAAAAAAAATGACTTTCAAACGACATGAAAGATGAAGGAATATATTTTAGGGTGGATACATGTATTAAATATAAAAGTTTTCGTACGAGAAACACACAAATAAAATTTAGATGAACACTTTAATAAAATGAATAACTAACATAAAAAAATTCAGATTTTAATATAGATACGTGTCCATCCTAAAGAATATATACATTCGCCATTGTATGCTTCGTCACTTGCCAACATGAAGTTTTCAAATTATTTTTAAGAAATTATAAACTTTCAAACTTTTAAAAAATACTTAATAAATTTATTAAAATGTTATAAAATGGTTAATTTAATATTATTATAATTATAATTTTGTAGTCTTTCACTTGAAATAAATCGTTGAATTAGTGTTTTTCTAATGCTGGTTTCAACTACCATAGTAGGGACAGCAAAGGAAAGGTTTGTGGCCCAACCACTTTTGCTTTTGTTCATATGGAATTCAAACCACATTCATTACTTATTCCCGAAACCAGTCAAGCCATCGCGTAAAAGGAAATCGGAGTGCGTAATTTGCCGTATCGTTGACCCGTGATTCACACGACCCTTGACTCATGGACCATGATCAATAACATAATGTGAAAGGGGTCGATTATCAAAGAATAATGCTCATCGACCATACTCGACTTTACTTCTGGTGGAGCCCAACTTTCATTTGACTACAACTTTATATTACTATTTCTCATTTTTTTAATAATTAAATTAAAAATCGATGTTTTAATTAGTTGAATTAGTGGATAAAATATAAAAATTATACGATATATTATGTCATTGTAAAAGTTTATTGTAAAAAAGTAATTCAATTAAAAATCTATTTTAATCGATTGAATTAAATTTTAGTATTTATAATCTTTATTTGACTATTGTTAAATTAATAATTCGATCAGTTGAATATGGTTTGATAAAATTTTAAATCAATTAAATAATAAAATTATTCATTATGATATTAATTTTGAAATATATTAATCAAAATTAAAATAATATTTTTATCGATATATTCCTAGCTTAATCGATATAATACGTTGTAAATTTAACGTGAGACCTACTTAAAAATATTAAACATGTTGGCCCAAAATCAAACATTAATGCCAAAAAAAAGCCATAAATATATGTTTCAAATCCAAAGGTTGACTGTGGTTGTTAAAGACTATAGGAAAACGACATAGTTCTATGCATCTTTACCACCACGATTTTCATGAGATGAGGGTCGGACCGCCGACAACAAAAAGAACAGCAAAAATCTCTTCGTTACAGGACTCCACTTTTAGCGAAAATATTTAAAATAAAAGAGTGGGAAAAATGAGAAATTGTTATCGATAAGGTGGGAAAATTGAATAAATTATTTTCCAATAATTTAATATATACCAATTTCAAAAATAAAAAATATAATGTTGATATTTTTTGTTGATTTTTATAATTTAAATTAATATAATAAAAATTTAATCTTTAGACATAATTTTTTCCTTTTTTCCAATAAAATTAACGAGAAATATTAAAACAGTGATGAATTATTTTAATATTTCACTTTCAAGATTAATAATTTTAAATAACTCCTTTCTCTGAGAGACTAATAGAGTTTTTAATCATTTTTAAGTCAAATCTTAAAATTTTCCAAAATTTCTCAACTCAACGGCTATATAAATAAACCCAAAGCAAACAGCACTCGAAGTTACATTCCATCTCCGTGGGAAAATCGATAGGAAAAACGAAGGCAAAGTAAAGAGCCAAACGAGTGATGTCGCAAACACGAGTGACAATGGAGGTCGGAAACGACGCCGTTGCAGTTATCACCATCTTCAATCCTCCCGTGAACGCCATGGCTATTCCCGGTAAAGCTCTGCTAGCTTAATCGCTTATGTTTCTCTTATTTTTCTGGCTCATCATTTTTTAGGCAGCGATTTGATTTGTTCTTTTTTTTTTCCAACCGTTGCAGTAATTGAGGGATTGATGGAGAAATTTGAGGAGGCTTCTAGGAGAAACGATGTCAAAGCGGTTGTTTTAATCGGTGAGTTCTCATTCATTTCAATGGAATCTATTTTTTATGATTTTTCTCATGTTAAAATTTTTATTATTGATTTTATTTGTTTGTTTTTGTTGATCAAGGCAATGGAGGAAAGTTTTCTGGTGGTTTTGATATCAATGTTTTCCAGAAAGTTCACGGAACCGGTATGAGTTGATTAATTGGTTAGATTCTTCGCAGTTCTTGTGCGGTTAATTTTACTGATTTACAATTTAATGAGGAGTGGAAATTCACATAATGATGCTTAAACAGGTGATGTATCTATGATGCCTGACGTATCCGTTGATCTTGTCCTTAATGCTATTGAAGGTCTTTCCTCATCCTTTTACTTATTGCAAGTGTTATTTTCACTGTTGTTTATGGCTCATCTTATGTTGTTTTTCAAATCCTCTCAGAATGCAAGAAGCCTGTTGTGGCAGCCGTTGAAGGATTAGCCCTTGGAGGCGGCTTAGAATTAGCGATTGTTTGTTTCTTCGTTCCCCTTTATTGATGAAAATTTTTACCATTATGATTGTTAATTTGCTCAGTTATCTAATCCATGTTACTCTTATGCAGGCTTGCCATGGACGTATTGCTGCCCCTAAAGCTCAACTTGGCTTGCCAGAACTGTCACTTGGAGTGATTCCCGGGCTTGGAGGTATGTCCACCAGTGTAATTTTGAGAAAATAAGCATGTTCAGATGTGCAATTATTTTGAGTTTGAAATGATAACCAACTTCACAAGCTTTGACTGACTCGTTTAACTATGGCACTTCCAAAAGGCACACAACGTCTTCCGAGGCTCATCGGGCTGCCAAAAGCTATTGAAATTATACAGGTAGTACTCCTGTCTGCGATGCTTTCCGAAAGTTTTAATAGTTTGTAATTAATTCTTCATTGTTATCTATCATTTTCGTCACTTTATGTATAATTGCAGTCATCGAAACCAATCATGTCTGAAGAAGGAAAGAAACTGGGTCTTATTGATGCTATTGTCCCCTCAGAAGAGTTACTGGAAGCTTCTCGCAGGTGGGCGTTAGACATTGCAGAGAAACGTAAACCATGGACACGTTCTCTTTGCAGAACGGACAAAATTGGATCCATCTTGGAAGCAAAGGAGGTTATAGAAATTGCAAGAAAAAAAGCCAGAAGGACTGTCCCAAATTTGCCTCAGCATCAGGCCTGCCTAGACGTAATTGAGGAGGGGATTGTCCATGGGGGATATCATGGAATTTTGAAGGTATTTTTAGGACCCCCTTGTATTTAATCTTCTATGTGATAAAGTCTAGTCTCATAAGAATCTCTACTCAGTTGCACCTAAAGATTTAGTTTTCTATGCCTATTCATGTTTTCACATAGGGATTTATCTATGCAGGAGGTCAAAGTTGCTAAGGAGTTGGTCATTCAAGACACTGCAAAAGGTCTTGTCCATGCGTTCTTTGCCCAGCGTACTACATCAAAGGTAACTGCTCCAGCAATAATTAAGCCAGTGGCTGCTGCACTTGCAATTTGAATTCAAACTTTAAAGTTTGAAATACATATTGAAGTCTCACAAGTCAATTGGGATCTTCCATTGTATTGTTTCCCCTGAAGTTTTACTTTTGCAGGTGCCAAATGTTACTGATCTTGGTCTAAAACCTAGGCAAATAAAGAAAGTTGCCATTATTGGTGGAGGCCTAATGGGATCTGGAATAGCGACGGCTCTTACAGTGAGCAATATATTTGTCCTTCTCAAGGAAGTTAACTCTGAATATCTTCAGAAGGGAATAAAAACGATTCAAGGTGATTATAATAGTTTATCATTTTTTTAATAGCTCAGTTGGTAGAGCACAGGGTTCTTAACCTTGAGGTCGTGGGATCGAGTC